AGCCTCATCAGCAGTATTCATGGTTTCAGAAATTTGCTTTTATTGAATGATAAACTAGGTTTCCTAACATGCTCTCTCAATACTCTGAGGAGTATTGAAACAGATATGCTCCTCCATTTTAGAAGATACATTGCAGAGCTGGAGAGACAGATTTTGTACTCTCACTTCAGTTGCTTAGCCCAGATATCTGCTTCACAGCTTTCCCACCATGTGCACCTGTCCGGCAAATTACTTGCAGTTTCCCAGGGCCCAGGAGCGTCTTCTGTGCTTAGGTCACATTTGCTTAAAAACTATTCTAATTCCCCATGCTCTGGCATGTCAGCAATGGCATTCCTTGTGCACAGCAGTAAAGCAAGAACTCATTGGCCAAAATGTGATTTTAGGATTTTGTCCTGGACTGAGATGCCCCAAAACTTTGTTTTTTAACAAATAGTTAAGAGATGGAAGAGAGAAAGAAATCCTTCCCTTGCACTACTCACACAAGCCAGGCATGCTATTCATGATCCATACGGAAATGTGAATAGCAAGAGCAGTGGAAGAGTTACAAATTTATGTACAAAATGATATCTCCCATGTACTACTAAACATGCAGAGATTTGTAAGAGAGGTATTAAGACTGGTCTGAATGATGTATAAATGGGAACATACATGTGGAAAATCACCAGCAGGGACCCTATAGCTAAGATTAAGAGAATGGCCTGCATCAAGATAATATCCAGCAATCCGCCGTTTACACCCAGACCCCCATGCAGATGGCTCAGCTGCAGAAAGCTTGCACTCTTGTAGCAGGAGTACTGCAGCAAGGCTGCAAGCATTGCATGTGCCATTTTTCTTCTTGTTATTCCAGCAGGAAGAGAGATTGCAGGTACAGGACACCCAAAATGAGGAAACAAGACAGTGGTGAGCCACCTTGCCTGAAATACAGAGGATGAAATGAGACAGATGCCAAGGCAAACGATCACACCACAATCATGGCCAACTCCTGCTCTCCAAGGTCGATCCAAAAACCAGTTTGTCATCACCAGTCCAGAGGAGCCAAGGCACACAGTGTCAATGGCTGGTATGCCTCATCCTCCATGTCCCACACAAGCAAGCCTGGCCAGACCATCTGGACACATCTTTGTGCTGAGTGTTAGCCATGTGGAGTCAGCTTACTTAGTTAAACAAGTGAAAAAAAAAATTACCCTCCCCTTCTGTATAGTCTTACCTTGAGTTTTCCTCTATTTGTTCCTGCAAATAAAGTCTCACTGGATTTTCATGGCAGGTGGCTCTCTCAGGTTGGTCGTACATTCGTAACGCTTGCAGAAAACAGCACTCAAAGTCATATGCGTGAGGGTGTGTATTGCCAAGACAAGAAGAAGTAATTTGCTTAGATTTTGAGCAAGATGGAGCTGGATTTTTTTATGAATATGAATGTGGGAAGTGGTGTCTGCATCAGGAAGAAAGGGCCTTCATACCCAGGAAGGACTTATAATCCTACTACTGTCTTTTCTCCTGCTGACCTCTCCTTTTTAGTCAGGGGTACAACTCTATTCCTCCTCAGGCATTAAATAAACAGCTTTCTGTTTTTAACTCTGAAACATACAAAACTCTTAAGATGCTGGAAATTCCTGCAAAAGTCATTGAGCTCATTGTTAAAACCAACTTGGCCCAAAGACTTGATGCTTAGGATCTTTACAAGTATTATGTAATTCTAATTGTATCTGCACTTTGTGTACAACCCGCTGAGAGCAACTGCTTCTTTCATGGATATTTAAATTCCTACTAATCTGAAGCTCCTTGTCTTAAGCATCTTCATTTGGGTTTTACAGGGTTACTGAAGTTCCTCAACATCTCCTGCCCCCAGACTCGGGGAAAGCTGTATGCTTAGCATTTAAGAAATTCAGATCCAGAGTGGCCTCTTGAGATTCAGAAGTACTCATGATAGCCAACCCTGAGCATCCATGCTGTGCTCCTTGCTTTTGTGGCTAATAGGATGTCAGAACAGGGATGTGGTCAGCTGCTGAGATTATCCCATCTATAAGTGCAGCTGTGGAGATTGGTGGGAGGAGGGGTGAGTATTTCTGGAAGTGAAGGGCATGGGGAACATTTAGAATGTAAAGGACCTTGCTCCTCTCCCCTCTACCAATTTAGGGCATCAAGAGAGTTTTCACTTCAGCAACCTATTCCCAAACCATCTCCTGTTTCCAGGATCAAAGCAGCTCCCAGTTGAGCTGCATTCCATAAGATATGCAGGCTACCGATCTGTAGGAAGTCCTGTAGATCAGTCTGACTGACAGCATTATGGGAACTTTCCAGTTTCCAGCAAGACTATCTGTGCCACTTTAACCACCGTCTTCCTATACAAACAGCATTTTATTTCTTCTCTGATATTCATTGTTCTGATTGGGAACCTAAATATTCAGTGCCTGGAGATTCTCATCATGAGAGTCATTTCTTAGCTCCTGTATCCGCTCCAGATAGGTGTTGGACTGGAGGCTCCAGGCATCCCCCCCGACCCACTTCTGATTCCAGAGGTGCCTTGCCAGCTCCCAAATGGGAGAATAGTGAACAGCTCTCCACTCTCCATACTCAGGAGAGATCTGAGCAATAAACCTAAGACTAACTTGACCTACAGACAATCTGCCCTAAGGGAACAACAGAGCAAGAGCAGACAGAACTGGTACACACAGCAAGAACTTCACCCTAAAATCATCTTTAATCAACTCTGTGAGCCAGGAATGAACCCTCAGGAGGCTTTTCATAGCACTAGGAAATTATTCCCTGGAGGCAGATGTCCTCTTTGCATACTGCAGCATTGACATCCCAAGGACAGATGTCCTGTGCTCTCAAAGGAAGCCCAGTTCTGACAGCAGCACGCACAGCATCTGTAGCTAATGTCCCCGTCTAGTAACGAAGAACCATCCTTTGGAGATGTGCTGTATAAGATGCGCTGTGCCATTGTCTCCAACCCTGATATGGCACCTTCTTCCCTTAGCAATGGATTTGAGGATGTGATTTCAACAGCCCACCTGCATCAGTGCTTGCTCTGCCACAGTCAGCAGTGTTGAGCTCCTGCCTGGGTCTGAACCACAGCCCTGTCTAGCCATAAGCCTTTCCCATCACTGAAGCCACTTGACTTCATAAGGAGGTGCTGATTTTTTTTCCCCAGAGAGAGACAAGGCAACTTTTCTGGGAATCAAAACCAATGCTGGAAATCAACCATGGTACTGCCACAGTACTGCCATGGCACTACCACGGTTCACAGAGTACCCCCATGACACTGCCACAGTACTTCCAAGCACCACCATTGTTCTGATACCACCATGGTACTTTCCATGTACCACCAATGCAATCTTGTGGCAGTCTTGTACTCTGATGATACTGATGGTAATTCCATGGTGCTGCCACAAAACTACGCTATGGGAGAAGGGCAGGGAAGGGAAAGATTAGTGAGCCACCAAACTAGGAGCATCCGGGATCATGGGCAGCCAATCAAAGGGCTGAGGGAAGCTGGACAGCGGATGCTCGCCCCTTCACCACTACATGCATGCACAGCTGGCACATGGGACCTGCAGCAAAGGACAGCCAGAGCTGGTGCATGGCCGAGCCCCATGGGGTGCTGTTCAGCTGCTGGCCCCCCACACACCCCCTTTGCCCCCCCTGCCTGCCACTTTGCCACCCACCCTGGCTTCAGGCCGGGGTCAGGCAGTCCTGGATCGGTTTCTTGCTCCCTGCAGGGAAAATACAAATACAAAGCAGCGCCACACAGCAGACATGCCTATTATCCCCCTCCCCCCCCCACCCCCACCCCACCGGCTCTCCTAAAGGGAGAGAAGGCAGTAAGTTTGGCACAAGTTGCTGATTCTCGAGGATGGAGAAAAAAGGGACCAGAAGCAGAAATGCTTCCCATTCTGCTATCCCATTTTTTGGCTAGAGGTCTTCTGGAGTGGCCAGGAGCTGTGAACAGGGGCAGACTCAAGGACTGGATAGTTAAATGTGCCTTTTCCCTGAACATCACAATAAATAGCTGCTCAAAAATGACATGCAAGAAATTGTGTGGTGCTTGAGTGAAACCATTTTCTCTCCCTGTGGGTTTCCAGCACCACTGTTTCCTGTGGGTCTGTCCTGTCTGGTCTCTAACCATGCACAGGGGTTCCAAGGAGCACAGCACTGGAATAGCTCAAAAACCTCATGCTAACCCCCCAGTCAGTTCTGCTCAGCTCTTCTCCCTCATCTTCAGGAAGAACAGTCTGAGACTTTATTTTCCAGCTGCTTTTAAAGCTCTGTGGAGCTACCCCAGACTCCCAGGAGATCCGAGAAAGGCAATTGATTTTACCCAAGGGACAGGGGGTGAGTTGTCCTAAGAAGGATGGAGCGAATGAACTTTTGTGGCCCGGTTTGAGGAGGTGAGGCTCTGAGGAAGCCTTCTGGGCTGCTTTCAGACAGATGTCGCCAGGGGCCAGGCATTGTACTGGCTAGAGGAGCCCCATCTCTCCTTACTGGGAGAAATTCCCACCACAGTGCAGGTGCCCTAGGGTACCCCAAGTGGAGAAGAGACGCTCTGGAGGAGGGTGCCAGTGAATTGTGTCCCCTCTCCAACCCACAAAGCCTTTGGCGCTGCAAGAATGGAGAGACGCTGCAGTGACAGAGGAGCCAGCTCAGCCTCCCAGGTTCATGCAGGGACTATCTGCACCGGACAGCCTGTGCAGAGAGGGCCCCAGCAAGCCCTTGAACCACCTCCCAACCCTGGCCAGAGGAGAGCCAGCTGGAGCCCTGCAAAAGGGCAGCAAGAAAAGTGGATCCCTCCTCTTCCACTCCAGCGCACTGCAGCAGCAGAGGCTTTGGGCAGCTCCCTGCCCTACATCAGTTTTACCGGTGGCTCAGCCATGGCCGAGCACAGCTATTGCCCCTGCCTGTCACGTATCAAGGTCACAAGTCCCCCAGCCTAAGTCTCTCTCACCGAAATGTGCACCACAACCTCCCACCTGGAAGCAAACACATAACGACAGCTACCTTACCTGTGGGGATCTGTCTGTCTGGTCATATTTGAGCCCATCCATTGCACGTAGGGGCCTAACGAGCGCTGGTGCTTGCAATGGCAGATCCCGCTGGGGGTCCACGGGAGGTCCACAGAGGGTCCATGGGGAATCTTCCTGGGACTGGATTGCTCTGCTCTCCTCCAGCCCCGACTCTGGCACTCCTGGGGACAAGTGATGGCTTACCTTGTCACCATCATCTCCCCCAGGGGCTCCACTTTCATGCGTGTCTGTCACCACAGTCCTGTCCAGGCAGGTAGAGGCCACGGGGATGGTGTTACCCAGCGCCGGAGCGTAGTTCTGCTGCGCTGCCATCTGTGGTAGGTCCGCACGAGATGCCCTCCCCTCCTGCTCCTCCATGGCTTAGGCTGGGGCACAGTGCTTCTCCTGAGCGATGGGCTCACCCTGACACAGCGGGGACTACACGTAGCTCCAGAAGCCAGGATAAAAACCCTGAAGGCAGCACAGTTCCGGTCGCAGGAGCAGCCAGCGCTGCGTTTCCTCACGGCAGGGTCGGAAGCAACAGAAGCATCTCTCTGCTGGAGGAGGCACCATCCTCGTCTGATCTGTCAGGCTTGGCAGGCTGGAGATTCACAGCATGCTCCCCCTCCTCCTCCCCATCATACAAAGGCTGTATGACGAACGGTGCTGTACTGGGGCTCGCTCCTGCTCTCAGCCGCAGCTTCGCAGCACGCAGCCCCCAGTGCTGCTCAGCAGAGCCCCCAGCCCCATGCCCGGAGCAAGCGGCATCTGGCGAGCTAGCTCCTTCCTTCAGGGTCCGTTGCTCTCGTGCAGCTCTAGCCTACAGAGGCCTGGTCTGGTCGGGTGCTTGCCTCATACTCGCACAGACCAAGGGATGACGTAGGTGGAGGGGCTGGTGAAGTTGTCAGCCTTTCGCAGCGCTCCAAGGAATCCGTCTGTGCTGCTTGCTGGATTTTTCCAGTGCCTGCTAGGGAATCACCAAAGCCACCAGCACAAATACTGCCAAGTCATCAATATTAAAATGGGTCTTACACCTCAGCAGGGCCACGCGGCTCCTGGGAGCCCTCCAATAGCAGCGGGCCCTGCCAGTTTCCATGGAAATCATGCGGGAATGGTGTTTGCTGCCTATGCTCAGCTGGCCGCGGGACTCCTACAACCCCCCGCTGCACTCTGAGTCAGATGCTGCTGGGTCGCCGTCGCCCTGCTGCCACCCCCCTCCCACCCCGCAGCGATCCCGTGCCTTCAGCGCTCCGCTCAGAGCCGCTCTGTGCTTGACAGCTCCCTGGGCTGGAGGAGCTGTGGTCCCTCAGAGCCCTGCTGGCCACCTGGGTCACCCATGCCAGCTACCGGCCCAAGGGCTTCAAGAGGGATGCCTTGGCTGCAGCATCCTGCTGGGAAAATACAGCACATTTCCCGATTCTTTCTCGGTCGGATGATCACTAGCTACAAGAAGTGGCAGTGCGGCTTTGCCCTCCAGGCTCCCATCCTGGAGGGAAGCTTGGCACAGCTTTTGTCTCCCTCTGGGCAAGCAAAAACTTGGCTCCCCCACTAGTGCGGCCCAGGAAATGCCATCCTGGAAACGCTGTCCCAAAGGACTGACCCTTGGGCTGGCAGCTCATGCAGCTGCCAAAAACAAAGGCTCCCCCCCCCCCCCCGTGTGATGTGCCCAAGCTAGGGGCTCCACGGGTGAGAGGTGGAAGGCAACGTGCGCGGGGAGGAAGCTATTGGGGTTTGATATGATTCAAGGAGACAAGAGTTAGCAGCATAACACTACAGCAAAGCAAGGCATTGCCTTTTCTGCGTGCACGCACACACGCACACACGCACACAGGCAGAGCAGGTAAGCGAGTGTGCTGTCTCGCTGTCCGTGCCTTGCCTTGGCACATCTTTGATGGAAGTCTTTTCTAGTCACTAAGCTGTACAGCGTTAGTAGCTCTCGAGGGAAAGGCACTGGGTCGCTATCTTGGATAGCCACTCTGAGGAGGGCATGTTTGTCATCATTACTCAGCCCAGCCACTGCAGAGTGAAATCTTGGTCATGTCTTCTCTGCACTCAGGAGCTGGTGTAGACCATTGGAGGGGGGAGCTCATATCCCTGCTGGTCAGTTTGGGATGGGTACCTCCTGCTTCCCTGTTACTTTATACATTGCAGCAACTCAAGGTCCCACTGCTGGTGCCTCTCCTTTGCGGGATGAGGAGAGAGTTTTGCATTTTGCAGTACATTACTCTGTTTTTCAACCACGGCTCCTGCACAGGGGAAAAGCCTGCCTTGGACCTCCACTCACTCCAGTGAGGTACTTTACGGGAAGCTCTTCAGTGGTCACTGTGCCCATTTCAGATACTGTTTTGTGAGCTAATCCAGCCAAATCCAGATGCATACAGTACAGATGCGTACATCTGAGCTAGCTGTTCGAACAGGCTCCATTGGATATGTCATCTCTCCTTGAGGTTGGCATCTAAGACAGTACAGGCAAATCACTACTCATTCTCCTCCCTCACACTGACTGTAAAGGATCTAGATGACCCAATTAGATGAAGACCCTTACCATGGGGAGTTAATACCATGTCTAACAGTCTCACATCTAACAGCATGTTAGGAGTCTGCCATACCATCTGAATACTGAACCCCCATTTTAGGAGAAAAAAAAATCACTAAGCTGACCATGATCAATGAACACAGCCAACAGATCGGAAAGATTTCAAACAGTTGACCGTACCCACCTGAATTTTCTGGTGCCTGCATGTCTTCAAAACACCAGCTTAAGTGACCTCCCCCTTCCAGGGCAGCTTGGCATGAATTAGGCTCCACCACATCCCACTGCCAGAAGATCTGGATCCCAGCTGTTCCCTGCATATGACTGTTTCTCCCCAGGACAGTCCCAGGCAGGATCTCTGGGCACTACAAAAGTGTGGAATAAGGCCCAAGCCCTGCTCAGCTCACTGACAAGACAGAGCAAGTGGGTATAATTAGCAGGAGGCGAGAGCCAGCAGTGGGAAGGGAAATGTAGCACTGATAAGATCATGTGGTTGCAAGCAGCGCACACACCACTTGCACAGCAGAGCCTCCTTGGAAACCCTGCTATGACACATTTTGTCTTGAACTTTGACTACCATATGCTGTTCACAGTCTCCGCTCATCTCAGGGACCTACTGCCATCGCTTCCTCTTGGACAGCTCTCAGTATCTCCTACTCAGCAGTGGTGGACCCACATGGCTCCAGAACCCTTCCTGGCAGTAATTACCCTGGGTACCCTGGATGAGGAGAGGCTGGGGATAAGTCCTTGGGCTGACTGAGGCACAATTTTTGGCCTTCCACAGCCCTCCAGCAAGCCCCAGTCAGGTGAGGTGGATGCCATGGATAGGCTGCCCAGGACACACTCCTCCCCACAGCCGTGAACCGCCTGTTTCTTGGCCCACAGCAAGGGGATATCTCCTGGGGTCTTGAGCTTGGGGAGATGGAGACTGTCTTTCCCTCCTGTGCCAGCTTCGGCAGCTGGATAGACCAAAGTTACGCCTGAGGTTTCCGCTGTAGGGATATGGACCATCCTTAGAAAGTGAGGTGCATCTGACATCAGCTGAAGAAGTAGACGGTGATCATTTATATTGGTTCAAGCCCAAGTCCAGAGAATTCACAGAAGAAAAATCCATCTGGGTTATTAAATGAGACAGGCTGGCTCAGGAGCTCCCTGAGCTGCAAGTCAGTGATGCCTTCACAAGAAATCTAGTGTCGGGTACTACAGACGTCTCTGGTCCTCCTAGTTACCAGGGCATCTGCTGTGGGGCTGTTCTCCCAGTAGGTGACATGGGCCAAAACACATTCTAGAGAGATTCTTGAAGCTCTCCCAGGACAGGGAAGACCACAGGATCAGAAAAAAAACAAATGACTACATATACCAGCAAGTGAAAATCAGGCCACAGCAGGGGGTCAAAGGTCAACAGATCACATTTGAGGAGCTGGAAAAAGGACCCCAGCAGAATCCTCCAGCAGCACCCACCACTCTCCAAAGGCCTCTAAGGAACCAGGAGCTGGGCCTAGTGGTCCAGGGATAAGGGTAGCAAGTATGGTCCCCAAAGCCTCCTGTCTCATTGTCAGGGAGCAAAGAGAGCAGGGCTACCCTGAGCGCTTACTGATCAAGGCAAGGACTGAAGGCCCAGGGCTGAGCTTAAATGGTGCTCCTGGACCACATGCAGCAGATGCCTGGAGGGAGTGGGGACCCCAGATGGGGCTACTCAGGGCAATTAGGACCAATTAGTACCCTCAGGGCCCTGTCCAGCATTTCCTTTGGTTCTGGGAATGGCGTCTGTGGAAGCCAGGAAGGGTTTGTGTGAGCTACTGTGGCTTGCTGAGGTCTCAGCTGGGCAAGGAGGCATGAGGATGAGCAACCCAGGCCATGCCAGCCACTGCGTCTGGGTGTGGGACAGCAGGCATATGTCAGCACTCACAGGCACCTTCAGACCAAGGCAACTGGCCAGGTGCTGACCCATTTCCATCTTCCCTTCATGCAGACCTCTGGGGACAGCCTCTTCTGCTCCTTCACGGAAGCAAATTGCATCAGGCCCATACTGTACACCACAGAGACGAACAGGTCATCTGCTCTCTCAGCTGAGGCCTTCATCTCCCAGCTTTCTGATCTCCATGCATCCACCCTGGTGCCTCGAGGGCAAACATGGGGCCAAGAAGGTACTTTGGGGGACAGGTGCCCTGCGTGGTGAGGGGTGGCCAGTGCCCTGGCCGCAGAGCTGTGTGCTGGTGAGGGAGCTGCCGCAGGGGAAATCTAGATTTCCAGGACACAGCATCCCTACACTGCACAGGTCTGCAGTCCTTGTGGTGCAAAGCCACATAGCGCATGCTGTGTCCTCGTGTGACAAATGTGTGTCGCATGCATGTAGCAACTCCAGCATGTGGGCACACAGCCACGAGGGGCCAGCACAGCATCTCTGCTGCTGTGCACCTACGTCTCCTCTCTACAGGTCGGAGCTCGCAAGTGTTTCTGGGCATCTGCAGAGCAGCTGCCATGTGCAGCAGTAGCATAAGCGTACGTGCCCCCATTCAGTGCACTTTGAAGACAGTCTTGCACGTGTGTATATGTGTGTGTGTGTGTGTGTGTGTGTGTGTGTATCCAGGCGTGCACAAACAGCCAGATTCGGCATTAATTGCCTGTGCTGGGAGTGGTCCAGGCTCCCAACCTCTTCTTCCCACCACCTGCAGCAGCACACAGCTATCCCAGCCGGGCTCACGCAGCTGGGCTCACGCAGCTGTGGGGCTGCGCTGGGGAGCAGCGCAGGGACCAAACCCTGGTTAAATATAACCCTGCAAAAAAGGGGATGTGAGAGGCCAGCTCAGATTGGTGTCAATGCCACAGTGCAGCCCTAGACAGACACGGTGACCCTGCAGGGCTGCTGCTCCACAGCATGAGAACATGCTCATGTGCATGCACACTTACACACCCACCCACACTCACACCCACCCACACCCACCCACCAAGTGCCTACACTGCTTGGGGCATTTCTCCAGACTCTGGAAAGCAACCAGGCAAGGGAGCCTCCAGCTGCCCTTATTGCTAGAAAGCAACATGGAAGAGGCTGAGGAAGGAGCTGTGTCAGTGTGGCTGGGGCCGGGGACTGCACAGCCTTCCTGTGTCTGAGACATGAAACAAGGGCAGGAATAAATGAGTCAAAGTACTTCTGAGATCAAGAGTTCACCCCAATAAGGAAAGAACACGTTTCCTTGCAGGAACCTGCCAAAATGCGTTCAATACACAGAGGGGGCACTAAAAAAAGGAATTGGTTTAAAAAAAAAAGTAGCAGTTTCAGTTGTGCTGCTTTCAGCAAGAACCGCGTTTCTAAACCTCTCTTAAAACAGTGAATATTGAATGGTTATAATACTCATAATATGCCTCAGTCATGAGCATTCAGAATACTGAATATGTAATTCCTAATAATTCAATATTTGATATTGATTATTATAAGTTTGAACTTTCAAAAC